TACCAAATATTTAATTTTATTTGCATAGGCAATGATGAAACGAAGATGGATGAAGTAGCCATGATGCTGGGTATCGCCGTATTCGTGCTTCACGCGTCATCAGAGGTAGTAAGCGCTCCGAATCTGCAATTCCCGTGCATCAATCACTTCCGACACGCGTTCCAGTCTGAAAACCTGACGGTGAGTGAAGATGTGAAATCTATAGACATCAAAGAATATATTATTAATAATTATCGCAAATAATCGAAATAATATTACACCAGGTGAGATTGAAATGTGTGCAAACGTTAAGAACGATATTTCTGCATCCGGAACGTAATATAAGTACTCCGTACATTCACGCGCTCGCACCACGACTGGTGGAATACCTGTATAGCGATAAGAGCAAACAGGTCACGAACGATATGGAATTGACTTTCACGTTAGAATGCATTAGTACGGTGGAAGCTCTCATAGGACTCGCCGATCTTTCTAATCGTAAGTTACTGTTGTGGAATTTATAAGAAACATTTACATCATGAAACTATATCTTGCGATTAGCTTGTGCAATAAAATGTTAATGTAAAATGTGTTACACGCTATTCAGGAGATCTGTTACAAGGTGTGTGGAAAGTAGAGATCTTCGTAATCTAATTTTCAGATGTTTTAATTAACTTTATTTATCTTACCGCATGATGTGAGTGAACTTAAAAATGACGTTTTAAAATTGAAATTATTAGGTATTCAAATGCTGACTCTGCTCGTGCCAATTTTAATCAACTACTTGCTGGAAGGAGATGAGCTTCAACGCGCTACTAAATATCAAGCGAATCTTCATCAACAGAGTTTTCAATGGCTCAATAAAATTGGACCGAAATATCCGCAGGTATATTTCGAAAATATTTTGGAATCCCAAATACACATACACAATATATGAGTATATGATATTATATAATAATTGTTATTTATACCGTTAGGAATTTAAGACTCTAATGTCACAGTCTACCGAGCTGAAGACTAAATTGGAAAACGCTGTAAGAACTAGCCATCAGCAGGCGCAGCGACATACTCGATCGGTCGATTCTGTGAAATCACAGATCAAGATATCCGCGCCATCAATAAAATTGAAAACCGATTTCTCCAACTTTAATTAGAAAGAAATTATCTGTTACAGAACAAGGGTAAGCTATTGGAATCGTGTGAAAGATACTAATGTAAGTAACGATATTAGCGATTCTGTCGTAATAGTAACATGTTTGCATCAAGACGCGACTGACTTCAATAATTATCGATCAGGAATGAATCGAATTAATCACTATTTATAATATGTTAGCATCGTGATAATTATAAAGTGATATCTCGCTGTGTTAGAGAATCTTACTCAACTGTACTTAGAGGTAAAGGAAAATTAGTAACATTATGGCAGAATCAGGGATAGTTAAAAAGGAGATGGATAAACTAATGTCGAATGATCAATTAATCTCTATCGTAAAGTAATATTTATCTTACCATAAAGTAATATTTATCTCTTCTATACCATTCTCTTTCTTTACCACCCGTTTAACTAAGTCATTGGTAAGTACAATAACGTTCCTGATTTTTCAATCATGCTTTCCCACAAGTGTAAGAGATTAATTTTATATTAGATTTTCAAGTTGTACATATTGTAGAATTTAGTATACACACACATACTTACATATATATATATATAGAAATTATTAATTTATTTGATAATATAAATAAAGATGGTGTTAATATTTTCTCGCCTCATAGCTTCCATGGATTACGAATGTTAACGAGTAACAATTTCATTTCATGAAGATGTGGTAATAAAAATTAAAGGACTGTATATATAATATTATATAATAATTGTTATTTATACCGTTAGGAATTTAAGACTCTAATGTCACAGTCTACCGAGCTGAAGACTAAATTGGAAAACGCTGTAAGAACTAGCCATCAGCAGGCGCAGCGACATACTCGATCGGTCGATTCTGTGAAATCACAGATCAAGATATCCGCGCCATCAATAAAATTGAAAACCGATTTCTCCAACTTTAATTAGAAAGAAATTATCTGTTACAGAACAAGGGTAAGCTATTGGAATCGTGTGAAAGATACTAATGTAAGTAACGATATTAGCGATTCTGTCGTAATAGTAACATGTTTGCATCAAGACGCGACTGACTTCAATAATTATCGATCAGGAATGAATCGAATTAATCACTATTTATAATATGTTAGCATCGTGATAATTATAAAGTGATATCTCGCTGTGTTAGAGAATCTTACTCAACTGTACTTAGAGGTAAAGGAAAATTAGTAACATTATGGCAGAATCAGGGATAGTTAAAAAGGAGATGGATAAACTAATGTCGAATGATCAATTAATCTCTATCGTAAAGTAATATTTATCTTACCATAAAGTAATATTTATCTCTTCTATACCATTCTCTTTCTTTACCACCCGTTTAACTAAGTCATTGGTAAGTACAATAACGTTCCTGATTTTTCAATCATGCTTTCCCACAAGTGTAAGAGATTAATTTTATATTAGATTTTCAAGTTGTACATATTGTAGAATTTAGTATACACACACATACTTACATATATATATATATAGAAATTATTAATTTATTTGATAATATAAATAAAGATGGTGTTAATATTTTCTCGCCTCATAGCTTCCATGGATTACGAATGTTAACGAGTAACAATTTCATTTCATGAAGATGTGGTAATAAAAATTAAAGGACTGTAAATGTCACAATACGATATGCACAAAATTTACAAGTAATATAATAATATATATAGACAATTCTCTGTGCTCAGTGTAAATTGTATTAATCTATCGTAGTTCAGAAGTTTTATTTTTAAACTCTTGATGTAGCTCTGATTATATTATTGATAAGAAATACTTATTTATAAATTATAGATAGTTGAGTCCCTCTAAGAAAATACTATTTGCCATAAAACAAACAAGAATACGATTAAAGACCAGCATAAAGTACAGTAGATAAGTATATTTATTCGCGAGGACATATTTAACATTTTTTTAGATAAGACTGATAACCTCTGCTACATTTTTATTTAACAATTTTATATAATAAATGTAACAGTGTTGTGCACATGTTTGTTTCGTCTTAAAACTGATAGTAGAGTTGGAATCTCTACTCGATTGAATAAATGTCTGATATGACATATCGAACTGTATACTGAGAGCTCTTTTATAATATGTTTTTTTCTAAGAACAATTTTTTTCTGACAAGAACGCGTTTTTGTAAATTAATAATAGTATAATACTGGCCATTGCAGCAAAAAAAATAAAATAAAATAAAACATAATGCTTTAATAATTATTAAAAATTATGAAAATCATAATTTCTTTTATATTTGATCTTTAAATTGCATTAGAAGAAATAAAACAAGAATTAATTGTATGTAACACGAAATGTATATCAGGAAATATAACTTGAAAGTCTGTGTGTGTAAACTCATACATCATGATAACTGTTTTTCCACTTAAGATTCATAATAAACCTCTTTCGCAACGTATGTGTAAAATTAAGTTCGAAAATTGCATATTAGATCTGGTGTATCATTGATAAAAATTTTCTATATACTGAGACATGCGCGCAAATTATTATAAATGCGTGGAAAGGATTATGTGCTCGATAAATGTTCTACTATTTTTATATGATTATTTTAAGAATATACGTTAATCGCGTTTGCAACTTTTAATTGTGCGCCGTATTCGTATTTATACATATTGTATATTTAACCCATCGAACTTCCATGTATAATAAGTTTTTGCGTTTTATTCGATCGGCAGGAATCCTCTTTGACGAATAGTATAATTATGTATAATGGTAATTATGCGTTATACTGCTGCTGTAATTTACGAAAATAAAAATCCACCTATTTAACTACATTTTTTCATTGATTTCTTATATTTGTATTCGGTTTTGTTGTAAACGTTGTGATGAATTTAAGAAATTTTTTTTCCTTTTGAGATGTAAATTTTTTATACAAAAGGATAAGATAAGATATTGTAAACAAATATATGCGTTTAGCAAGTGTATTCGCGACATACATATGCATTAATTTTTAAAAAGGAACGTGTAAGATTTATTCTAAAGATAAATATCGAAAATTTGAAATTTATAAAATTAAGAATATATCATATGTATCTGTAAAAAATATTCGTGATTATGCATATATATCAGTGCTCGGATTTAGTTGCACATTTCGGCCCGATTCCGTGGCTCACGCCTATTGCCCCCCACTCACCGCTCGTGCGTTAGCGACGAGTCGCCAGATACGCGTAACTAAGGAGCGCGACGTTTTGTCTCAGGAGCGTCCGTATATAAGAATGTCCAAATATAATAGTAAGACAATACTTTTCTAAATGCACCGCGAAAATTCTCAAAATTAAAAATTTTTTCTTCAATATTTTATATTTCATTGATATAAAATATTGAAGAAAAACTTTTATTTATAGAAAAGTATTGTCTTATTATTATATTTGGGCATTCTTATATACGGACGCTCCTGAGACAAAGCGTCGCGCTCCTTAGTTACGCGTATCTGGCGACTCGTCGCTAACGCACGAGCGGTGAGTGGGGGGCAATAGGCGTGAGCCACGGAATCGGGCCGAAATGTGCAACTAAATCCGAGCACTGATATATATATTTTTTATATAATTTGCAGAGAATTGAAAGTGTAAATGAAAACTCTTTGCAACTTTTGTCATAGTTTATTATAAGTGATTTCTATTTCGTTATTTAATTGTTATTTCGGTCATTTTTTAATTTAATGCACACATCATTATGTATGCAGTAATTATGATTTAGAATAAATTATACATTTCATTCTTTTTACTGTTTTGTTTGACTTTATCTACATATATATATATATATACAGGGTGTCCCCGATTTAAATGCCAAACCTTAGGAGCGTGTAGGGGACCGATAAACTAAGACAAAAAGTCCTTTAGAGATCTTTTTAAAGCGGAGAACCTATTTACACATGCACGAACATATTCTATATGCAAGGTTTATGTGTGCAAATATAAAAACGAATGTATGAGATATGTTTCGAGCAGTGCAAAGCGTGCTATCGTCGAGGAATGATCATCACCTTATCGTGATCGCCGTTTCACGTAATATAACGTCTGATAGAAGCAAAGTCACAACGAGAGATTCACAGCAAGCGAAAAGTTCTCCGATTCGAAAGCATTCGACGCGATCAGGCGAGATGGTAAAAGCAAAAAAATACGTGCTAGTGAAGCATTTCGTGAACGATCCGAAGCCCACGGATCTACAATTGGTAGAAGAGGAGTTGCCGCCTTTACAGAATGAAGGTAGAGATTATGGATCAATCTAGTTGCATCGTCATCGTATCATCGTACCGTGTGTATCACTGATTAATGCCTTGTAATAGGCATAGAATCTCACACGCACATTACGCGATTTCTTAATAAATTATATATGATTCCGTAATAAAAATTATAATTATATAATTATAAATTATACGAATGATCTAGATGCTAATAGGGAATCAGGTTTTAAATTTAAATATATGTTAATTCATAATTTAGAATTCGTGACATTATTGTTGGGCACTAAAAATGAGACAGCATAATTGTAATAAACAATTAACTGCTGAATAATCAACATTTCTAGTGCCTAGAAAAAAAAAGAAAAATAACACAATTATTATTAAGCGTATATAATTCCATATTTGTTTAATAAAATGTAACATTGACGATTGAATTATCAAATCATAATAGCATTAATATTCTTTTGTGATTATTGATATATTATCTTTAATTAGTATTATTTAACATCAACGAAATCGGATAATAGATCATTTATATTGATCAAATCATTTTTTCTGTTTCTTTTTTTTAGAATATCTTGTGGAAGCCGAGTACCTTTCCGTAGACCCGTACATGAGACCGTATGTACAAAGATATCCGGTCGGAATCACGATGATCGGAAGTCAAGTCGCTAAGATTGTGGAATCCAGAAATCCGAATTATCCGGTTGGCAAAAGAGTTGTCGGTTATCTTGGCTGGAGAACTCATACGATTATCAATCCAAAGACAATCGACCAAAATGATAAATTAATGAAACCACCGTATATTTTGCGGGACATTGACGATTTGCCACTGTCTCTCGCTTTAGGCGTGCTGGGAATGCCAGGGTAAACAAATAGAAAATATTTTCTAATGCGTTTGTCTGCGCCGTCGTCTTCTAATGAAACGCATCTTTCTTATCTTTTCGTGACGGAAAAAGATATGAGATATAAAATTAGAAAAGAAAACAGGAAGCACTCTTACATTCTCCGTTTGAAACTGAAATTTACATTTAAACTTTGAAATTTATATAAATCATAAGCTCGCGCAAAAGTAGATTTATCCTTATATACTGATATAGAGATTTGATTATATATTGATTGAGAGATATATTAACTTCTCACAGAAGCTGTAAATTGATCAACTTCACTGTTTCAAAATTAAAAAATTGACGAAGAGAATGGAGTTGATCAGTTTGGCTTCTCTCAGAGGCTCATATATAAAAACTGTCAAAAATATTAAATAATAAAATGTATACAGATTTACATTATGAATGTAAATGTAAACTCGCATTCTTTATAGCAACACAGCATATTTTGGTTTGATGGAAATATGCAAGCCAAAATCTGGCGAGACAATCGTCATTAGCGGGGCCGCCGGTGCGGTCGGTTCCCATGTGGGTCAGATCGCCAAAAATCTAGGCCTCACTGTTATCGGTTTATGCGGCTCCGATGAGTTGTATATATTTTTTATCATTGATTTTACCATCACTCAATAAAGATGAAAAAACTACAATTTTATTATCGTGATATGATAAATTTAGTTCCTGTGCGATCGACGGAGCCGGGGATTCTACGTCGTGACATTGTTTGGCCATTTCTCTCGAAAATGGCGGCCGTGTTGGACGAGGTCGGCAAATCCGCTGAAAAACTCGTGGACGAGGAAAAGAACGAGATCGTCGACGAGAAGGACGAGACCGGCGCGGTCGAGGCTTCGAAGAAGAAGAAGAAGAAGAAAAAGAAGAAGAAGGCCGGTGCGTTTAAATACGATCTTGTGTCATCGTCCTCGATCGTTCGCGCCCTGCACATTCTGCGTTCACCCGCGTGAATTTCTTTTATTATAGCGTAAAATACGATCTCAAAGTCGCCGGGAGAGATCAACCCGTTTTCGATTGAACTTATTCGCGACGTTTCACCTAATTTCGTGTAAAAAACGCGATTCGTCGTGTCGTTAAAAGCGAGTCCATCGTGAGGTATTCAATATGTGCTCCATCATCTTCGGAGTATCAAGTAATCACATGAGAAATTTTATCGCACGCGAAATCGTTGCAGTATTTTCAAAATTAATGATTTTAGACTCATATTCGATTTCTGCTTTGGAATTTCACGAGGTCCATGTATATATAGTTATAGACTATCAGCTGCTAGTAAAAGAAATTGCATTATTGATTATGAAATATTAATAATGAATATTTTCGCATGCAGGTGCTGGAGAGGCTAGTGCAGATGTTCCTGAAGGGGAAGAGAATAAAGTTAAGGATGATGATGGATCAGCCGAAGGTACCATAAATAGTTTTTGCTTCTAACTATGATTATATTAAAATTTAACATTAATAATTAAGATAGTATGTGTTATGCTAATGACAACTAATAATACCTGTTTGGTTGAAATTTTTAGGTCCCACAGAGATGACCGAGAACGATGGAGAGAGCGAAGAAGTCAAGAAGAAGAAAAAGAAACGCAAGCCCAGAGGCAAGGGCGGCGTGAAGCAGCAAACGGATCCGCCGACCATTCCAGTGTCGGAATTATTCCCGGACGGTAATTTCCCGATAGGGCAGATAATGGATCATCCACCTGCTGCCGGAATAGACGATAGAATGGCGAAAAATCGCTTCACCAGCGAGGAGGCGCGCGCTCTCGACAGAATGCACAATGATATCTATAATGAAGCCAGACAGGCAGCCGAGGCACATCGACAAACCCGAAAGCATATCATGAAATGGGTATGCGAATCTATGCTATTGCAAACAATGATTAAAATATGATTAAAAGTCGCATTAATATCAAGAATTGCGAAATGAATAATTTTTACAATTTGCGAGTGTACATATATATACATGAATTTATTTGCAGGTAAAACCGGGAATGACTATGATAGAGATTTGTAATGAGCTGGAGGAGACCGCTCGGAAATTGATAGGCGAGGACGGTCTCAAGGCTGGATTGGCTTTCCCGACCGGTTGCTCCCGCAATCACTGCGCGGCTCACTACACTCCGAACGCCGGCGATCCAACCGTTTTAGAATATGATGACGTCACGAAGATCGATTTCGGTACGCACATTAACGGGCGTATCATTGATTGTGCGTTCACCTTGACATTTAATCCGAAATACGATAAGTTGATCGAGGCTGTTCGCGACGCTACCAATACCGGTATCAAGGCTGCCGGAATTGATGTGCAATTGTGCGACGTCGGTGCTGTTATCCAGGAAGTAATGGAGTCCTACGAGGTGGAATTAGACGGCAGAACGTATCCGGTATGAAATATACAATATATGCAAAGTATTTCGGTTCCAATTGCTTGTATCCAACTTTAATAGCAGTTATCTCGCGATGTTTGTATATAAATACAAAATCATAATTCATCATTTAAATATTTAATGTCGAAAACATTAGAGATTCGTCAGAAATCTCGATTTCCCTTCAAATTCTCTCTCGAAAAGATCCATATTAAAACCGATGAAAAAAAATGATCAAGATTTATTTAATAAGTTGAATTTTTTACAGGTGAAGTCGATTAGAAACTTGAATGGCCACTCTATTGCGCCTTATCGCATACACGCCGGGAAAACGGTGCCGATAGTTCGAGGTGGCGAGGCAACCCGAATGGAGGAGAACGAGTTCTACGCGATCGAAACTTTTGGATCTACCGGCAGAGGCGTCGTTCACGACGACATGGAATGTTCGCATTACATGAAGAGCTTCGATGCCGGTTTCGTCCCATTGAGGTTGCAGAGCAGCAAGTCTCTTCTCAATACTATCAACAAGCATTTCGGTGAGTGGTTAAAAAAAAAATACTCGAACCGCTTAAAAAATAAAGTTGAATTAACGGCATAATCTCTGTTTTTAATTCCAACGAATTTTTCAGGTACTTTGGCTTTTTGTAAACGTTGGTTGGACCGCGTCGGTTGTACCAAGTACCAAATGGCTCTGAAGGATCTCTGTGAGAAAGGCGCCGTGGAGGCGTATCCGCCATTGGTCGATGTCAAAGGCTGTTACACTGCTCAGTTCGAGCACACTCTCGTTCTGCGTCCTACGTGTAAAGAAGTGATTTCCCGCGGAGAAGATTATTAATACATCTATAAAGAAATGAACCATCGTTGTGTTTTACATGAATCGCTATCGCATGTGTCAAGATGTATTTTAATCTCGATGTAACATCTTTTATCAAAACATTGTCTCGTTCGATCCGTACGCGGCAATGCGAACGGTAAACGCGTGAATAAGAATATAATCATTGTAACACACGTCAGCGCGTGGCATTTTTAAATGTAATTTACGTAATTTTATTTTTCCGATTGTAAAGAAAATATCGTAGCATAATGCTACGAGCTTCGACACGAACGATGAAAGCGCAGTGAGCGATTTCTATTTCTTATACATCAAATGTTTCCATATCATGGAATATATCGCTTGAGAAATATAATTCTTTTGCATTTTCTTTTTTTTTTAACGTTTCTTTACGAATATACGCTTTGAGAGGAGGATCGGTAATTTGTATTCGACGTAACAATTTTTAAATCTTTATTACTGGTTTCTTACAGTTTTACTCTAAAATGGAAATGACAGGGATGGTGTGTTTAGTATTGAATAAAATATATTTGGAATTCGAGATTTATATCATTGCGAAGATCTTATGGTCCTGAATATCGTATAATTAAGTTTTTAATGTTAGAACGATATAAACGTAGAGAGTAATACATACATGTGACAACTGTACAAAAAGAAAACGAAAGTATTCTGCATTTGCGGCTTCTCTATAGCGAATCTCTATACGTCGATATATTTCCCTACGCATTTTAAGAGCGCGAATTATATGTTATAAAATCTTCGTGGATTGATCGGTAAATTAAAAAAAGGTGTAACAAATTCATGTCTTATTATTTTATAATCCTAAGAGGCTGCGCACGTTTTCGCAAGATTCTTCAAACAAAGGACCACGAGATTTAATAATAGCATTCGATTCGACATTTAAATACGGCTCGCAACAATTGTTACCCAGCATCTTGCTAATGTCATACATTTCTCTCATTATCATATAACGAAGTATAAGAACACATGGTCTTGCGGAGAGTTCTGATCTATCCTCTCTTGTCTTCTGGCGGAATTTTTACTTTCACACACATACAGTGGCATTACTTCTATATAACTATAATGAGACATAATTTTGGCATTTAATTCGCATATAAAACATCTTTAGAGTAAGTACGCGTGAAATAAAAAGCATTAAGTTTCAGATAAATCTTTCACTATAGCTACATTGACTCATAACGGTAGAAGCTACCGTGACAAATCGAGAACTTTAATGATGAGTCGTGCGATTAGTTGCGCGTATCTTCGAGCGGAAACTGTCCTATGTTTAACGTAACTCGACTCAAGGCTCTTCGTGACGTGTCCAAAAAGAATGCGAGTAATGTCACCGTTGATGATCCGAGAGAGAAAATGAGTTTGGAATACAAAATACTTTCTAAATGCCCGAATCGCCGAAGATCGTGGAAGACACCATCGGGACTTCCAAGACGGGGAAGGGAAGAAAAAGCGACCACGTGCATACCATTGCCTGGGGTAAACGGAACGTATCCAGGATACACATGGTCGCGAGTATCCTCGGACATTCACGGATCCAGAACTCTCGCGCGTATTTCGAGCGATTAATCTTAAACGATACGAAATATTTCGCTTATGTGTAATGAAACAATAAATTTCAATTTTTCTTTATTGTGTAAATAAAAGACCCAGCGATTTTTGGAAAATGTATTATCCATTTATCGTTTTAACGCAAATTTTATAAAATATGTCTTAAAGAAACTGAATTTTGAGAAATGAAAAGAAATATTTCGTATCGCTCAAAATCGAAACAGAGACGAATAAATTCTTCTGCGTTATCTCGCCATCTATCTATCGTTATATTCTGTCTATTGTCAATTTGTGTCCTACTCTATCAAACTGTGTTACTGTCGGTGCTCTCGCGACGAAATCACCTTTGTTTTCGTAAGAAAAAATACGCTGGTTATTATATATTCGAGTTTACACGTATAATAATTACCGGATTACTTTATTATATACGATAATTACCAATATAATAATCGTATATAATAATAGAATAACGCGTTACAGTTTTTGTCGACATCATCCTAATTGGTCATCGAACTAAGCTCGGCACACTGAGGTTTACTATTTATTATTGTTGATTGTACATCGAGACACCTGATACCTTCTTACGAGCCGTTTGCTTGCACGTTACAAGATCCAGGCGGTTTACGAACGACACCGTAATTTACGATGTTTAAATCATAAAGAGATAAGTTCTAATCTTCAAGACACAACATTGTTTGGTCCTTCGCGTTGTTCTGGGAATGCTTTTGCGGTGGATTGAAACGTGTTCTACGAGACAGATCCACCGATCCTCTCCTCGCTCGCAATCGAGCGATCAAATAGATAGCGTATTATCTCTTAACGCCCATTACAACACACCTTCCGACGTGCCAAACGAGAGACGCCGTAGTAATTCTCGTGCCAACGAAATCTTATCAGATGTTACGCGTATATACATGTTGATTGCGATCGATAAGGCGCCGAGGTATGAAATTACACGATGAGCCACCCGAGCGAATCGAGATCGATCGATCGTCTTATTCATTCGGGCGCGATCTCTGATCTTCGCTGGGCTCACTGGGACTCGGTGCGAGGCCTCAGCTTCGCTCTCGCTGTTATCAGGAGATTGCTCGGCGGTTCCATCGTCGCCTGCGATTGCTCTTGCTGCGAACAGATAATTTGCAAGTCTCATTCACGCCGAGAAAAAAATAGATCGTAGTGCATCGTTATCACATTTGTATTTGTTATAATTTGGACATCAAAAGAGATATCTCGACTTGATAATTCAAAGATTCCAGAAACGAGCTACAGAACGTCAAATGATCGAAGATAAAAGATTTTAGAATATCGAGATTCAAAACTGGAATATATGTCGAATTTTCGAAGAAAAAATATAATTAATTTAAAGATTATCCCACACACACACATGATTCAAATTCTAAAGGTTTACGATGTAACAGTTTAAAAAGAATGAAATTACCTATAATTTTATATATATCAAATTACCGTTAATTGAATGTTTCTTGCTCTCTGCTCAATTGCTCTTTGCAAAGCGGTTCTGGGATCATCCTTGTAACTTTCTTCTCGAATCCTTTCAGCTTCTCTTCTTGATGCAGCTTCTCTATGTTTCTCCAAAGCACGTTGCAACTCGCTCTTCTGATTCAAGACATTTTTGCCACTGTGGAAGGAAAAAGCGTATATTCGCTTTATAATTAATTCTTATTCAAACAGTTTTTTTCCTTCAATTAAAACTTTTGTTGGAATAGTAAGTTAATAAAAATATTTTTAGCAAATGAAAGATAAAACATTTTTATATGTGTAGAAAAAATACAAATAAATATTGCGCGAACGAGAAGATCAAATATAAAGCTTGGAATACATTACGGGATTACATTGTTTTTATCGCACGTGGAACAGTCACGTGCGTAGACTGGATATTGCGTGCCAAGATAAAAATCAGTGAGCGTAAACCGTTTAATTTCATCGAAGCGTAAAGAATCGCAGGTGAGTCGAATACGCGTAAATACCGAGTAGAAGCGAAATTACGTAAAGTATATTCGATTTTACATCTTGATTGGCCGCGTGATCGACGGAAAATCGGCACAAAAAATATTTTTTGAGGCGACGTACTTTTCTCTCGTCTTATATATTTAATAAATAAATAAATAAATATATTATATAATCTCTCGACGATTTCTGATCACGCTCGAATTCGCGTATGATGAAAATGGTTTTATTATGGTTCGCTTTCATCAGGAAGTTTTCCACGCTGGTAATTGGCTTTCCATTTTTATGACGAATATTATATTCCTCGCAATATTAATTAATCCTCGTATATTTATGAAGGCACGAAAGCAGGCAAAGAAACAGGTAAAACATTTACTTTCGGGATTATCTTTCGTTCGAAGTTCCTTCTTTGCCGGGGATAAAAAAACTTTTTTTGCCATATTTCAAGACATTCTTTGGAAAATTAATGAGATAATTAAAGATATTCGACGAAACTTTAAACTGATAATTTATTAAGAAAAAATTTAATATCAAATTTAATATAACAATTGTAAGGCAGGAAATTTATAAGATTTCGCGAATATTAAGATCCTGGCAGAAAAGGAACGATACAACATTTATTTCACGAAGTGCTAAATCACCGTGAAAAACTTTCCATTATAAAGAGGCGCAATCGCGTATTTTCCTATACGAATTAATTTATCTAACGAAAAGAGAGAAGAAAAGTTTTGAAGCCATTCAACTTACATTTTCTGATTAAAGAGTAATTCTCTGTGCAGATCCTTATGATTAGTGGAGATAAGGCAAGGGTTATACGGTTTTCTCGGCAAGATTAAGCCGTCTGGTCCCATGTGAGGAGCCGGTGGTGGCGGAGGTGGTGCGCCCAGAACCGGTGCCATTTTTCTATCTGAAAGAAAATCACTAATTTAATGAATAATTCATTCAAAATCAAAATTCGGATAGTATATCGTACACGATAATTATGATATTGCTAATTTCTAATAAATCTCCAATCCTCGCATAAGAAATGAAAATGTTCAGTCCACACGCACAAACACACACAATCATAGTCTGATTCACTTTGTTAAGAACTCTAAGAAATAAATCCTAAAGTCATAAAACATAGGTGTTGCACTAAACCTTTTTTTATTATAATGGAAATAATGAATAGCAAATAACCATCCATTATAAATAGATACTTGATTTTTCAGCTTTATAATAAAAATTTATTTTAATTATATCACATTATAAAATTTTAATTAGACACTTGCAATAATTGAGGAAAAAATAGGCGAAATTTTACCAATATTTCATATTCTATAAATACATAGCTCAAATAAAATATATGTAACACTTTTCCGAAATATTTTGTTCTCAACGAGATGATTGGATCGACGATGAACGAGAGTCATCGTGCACGCGAACATTTCCAGAATAAATCCTACAATTGATAAATATTCACCCTCCAACAACGCTACTCTCGCCCTGACCGAGCTCTGCTCGCACATGGTGGTTGCACGTATCGCGACTGACATGAGACATTTCTCCTCGAGTACACGAGAGACGTATCAAAGAGAAAGAAGTTCTATATATTTTTGTGTAGGGCTTCGTGCATATAGCTGCGCTAATAGGATCTCGGGGAAACACGCGCGAACGAATGGCGCCTCTCGCAAACTCAAGGTGAAATAAATGATGCCATTTCCGTTGCGATCGAACGGGGTCGAGCGTTTTAACCCTCTTTTGTTAGACTTACATTCAAACTGTCTTTAATATCCGTTTAAAACGCAATGAGCAAGGTAATCATATAATCCTACCCTAGCAGAAACAGCCTTAAAAATATATCGCGATTGACGATTAAACAATTAGCGATAACTGCCAATTAATGTTCATAATATAGATAAATATAGAAAAGTTTGAAGTGATTACAAAAATATTCATCGTTTGTTTTGCGCATTGAAATGATCTACTTCCGTTCCCTTTACGCGAGAAAACGCAATGTTTCCAGATAAAAATCGTTTCGAAATCGCAACTTTACGCCAAGGCGCACTACGAGAACTCGAGATGACGTACTGTCGTTCTACATCACGATTTTCTCTGTGAGCACTTATTGTTAGATTCGCTCCTTGCATCAGCAACAATCCGAGTCGTATCGACAGCTCGATGCATTTGTCGTTCGTATATATTTGCTCTTATCGTATACTTTATTCAAGATACCATAGTTCTAATAGATCGATACAATGTTAAGTTGTGTGAGTTCACCCAGATAACGTTGTAAAATCATCAATTAAATCGAAAAATAAAAATGGCATATCTCGGTCGACATTTATCGATCTTATTTGATCGAATCTTGATAGAAATTAGTATAACATTAATATAATAATAAAATTATATAAAATTATGAGATATTTATAAGTAATATGATATTAATTGCTGTGTAACAGAGTAGGAGTATATATTGTAATTAAATATATAGTAATTAATCAGAAGATCAAGTAATTCATCGGAGAATCGTGATTTGGCTAAAAAATTCTTGTAAAAATGCAAACGCAAAATATTCCATATTTTCGTATTACAGGAAATCGAGTAATTTATTTCGAGCCACCCGATGAAGCGTTCGATCGAGGCGAGAAACCAGGTCGCGAAAGTAAGCCGATGTTTTGTTCGCGTGCATCGTGCGGGCTGCATACGCGATTTTATGGAAATCGGATGATAAGGAGCTATTTAAAAAAGCGGGCGGAAAGGAAGTCAGTGTACTGAATTAAGTGAATTTCAATCCTTTAACACTCAGAAAATAAGTTCGTTCTCAATTTTTTTATTAAGTTCACATGAAATTTTAACAGCATTAAAAAAATGTCCCGCTGAAAAAATATCAGTTACCAAAATATTATTTTTGTTTATTGAAAAAAAGTAGAATGATTTTATGAATTCGACAACATCCGTTAGCCGGTCGTTTACCGGTGCGTCTACTCTATTTATTTATTCGCAGAGTCATTGACTTGCCATCGCGGTGCATTGATCCGAATTTTTTTTTAAAGGCGCGAGATAGCGCGAATAGTGCATACATATATACATGGCATCAATACTACAGATAAGCATGCAGCATCAAGATAAGTTAGATATTCAACAACCGGATAATTAATACGAATGTATCAAAATGTAATTATTAATAATGACAGAAATATAGATATATTTTATAGTCTCTTTTGAAAGGGTTAAAAAATACTCAAGCGATAAGAATTACTAAACTTTATCAGTCCAAGTTTCATACAGCTGTAATTATCGCGTTACACAGATAATAATATTTGTAATAAATAGCAATTTTATTCAAAATTATTTTTGTAAGATTTGCTTTAAAGATACCTTAATAGTAATCCGCTTTAAAAATGTTTCAATAATAATTTAATTTTTTAGAAGTATCAAACTTTTTAAAAAATTGCTTGGTCATTCGTCGGTCTATATTTTACTAGCAAAAAATTGATTATTACATAATCTCACGTACTAAATCTACGTACGAATCAATAATGTAAATTAGTCTTTTTATGTTCCGATATTTCAATTTCACTGAATTGTAGCGTATTTCGTCGAACAGCACTGAATTAAATACATCGAAGCATGATGCAGATGAAAGATGACGCCGTACAATGACAATCGGATGTCTGTTACGCGATCATCTGCTTATGCGTCACGCGTCGTCAGCCTCTCGAATGTCACTGATCCCGATCCGATTTAAAGACGAGAAATTGCGCACTCAAAGTTAACACATTTTCATAAACTATCAAATCTACTAAAAATTTTATGTTAATTTCTAATGATTAAAAATACATCAATCCATTTGTGAAGGCTTGCAATTATTGCAAATAATTTTTGCTTTTACTTTTCCTCTGTGATAATAAAATGATAACAATCAAATATAATTACGCTTATGTTTTCGCTACAAATTTTTAAACAATTAAAATAATATTTTTATATATTAATCTTTTTAATCTTTTTTATATATTAATATATAAATTAAAGTTTAATTTATTGTTTAATGCAATGTATAATTAAAATGAATTTAATTTAATATTATCCCGTCTTTGATCAAATATAAATTTTAACAAATGCTGAAGAAATCTCGTTGAGAACTTGAAAATACAATCGACGTCGTGACGTTTGCTATATGTGCGAATCTTATAGAACGTTCTTTTGTTGCCATTCATATGCAAAGCTGAAAAGAAACCGACATTGATAATGCAAAGTCGAGCAAAGTGCATGCAGGTAACAGGATAACAGGATTATAAAAGAGCGCGCATATCGTGTTTGCCATCTTGCTGCACTTCGACAGAGAGACGATTGAATTTCGATCAGCTCAATAGCTCGTAGTATACACGATGACATAATTTTCCTGCTATTACTACACACGCGATTACGTTTTAATTTGATGTTTCGAAATTCGTGCTACAATCGCAAATTGATAAGATATCAGATAAGATGCTTACTAATATAAGATGCGACTTATCCAAAATCTGTTAATTTGCGCAATCTTTTTAAACAATCGTATAATCGACATTTCTCGGAATTAATTTATAAGTTTTATAGTAGAATCTCAAAATAAGATACAACAAATCAAAGGATCTGTGAGATAGATTTTGATAAATTTTATAGAAAAATCCAAAAGCTTGTATACAATTAAAATTGCAACGTAATTATCAAACTTTCCATTTATTTTCATCAAATTTATCGAGAATTATAAATTGAAAAACGATTTTATCGTTAAAGATTGAGAAATATCTGAAAAAGCAATCAAAAAATATAATTTTGCAAATAAATTATATCAGTTCAACAGAGTTTCATTTGGGTAACAGATTCCGGAAAGAAATTCTCTGCTTCGTCATTCAACGATCCAATGTTTGCAACGGACACTTTCGACAATGCATCCGCGTAATCTCCCGATGTGGGCGGTTCTTATCATCGCGAGGGAACCGTATCGGATCCGGATTGTTGGATTTTACGAGCGAAAAGTAAATTTTGCGCGCGAGACCTCCGGCGAGGCGCGACGCTGTTAATCGCGTGCGGAGTGAAGCGTGTTTTACAATGATGTGAAACGACATAGCTGTTACTGCCGAGACGTTAAAGACATACGTACGGGCGTGTCCGAAATAATAACGAGCCTTGCGAGATCCGAATTGAAAGTATAGCAATTGCAAAGTATTCTTTAACGACACTTTCTTCGATCTCTCGATAAGGAAAAACTTCCAACTCTCACTTTCGATCTCACTGACGGCACATCTTAACGTTCAATAAGATCTGTCAAACATTTACAAAGCTGTGAAAACTATGAAAAATCTGTCTATAAACTTTGATTTGATTAACAAATTTTTTCAACGCAAAGTCGATTTTCCTCTTAAGAAGAATTTCTTTCCCGCTGTTTTTACAATTCTTTTAATATTCAATAGAATAATTAAATTCGGTTTGGCAATTAAACATCGCGTTAATGTTTTCAAAACAGTTCCGGTAGTTATTTAAATTTAGATATCAAGCAATAACGTTTCGTTATTTAATTACCTGGCAAAACTTAGATCGAGATAAAAACTTCATGACGAAGAATAATGCACGAGTATTGAATAAAGAGAACGCGAAATGATAACATTACCATTAGGCCAGTTTTTCTGTACAATTAATTTTTTTTTGTGGAACGAGGTCACTTATTCGCGGATTTTTCGAAAGGACTCTAAATTCGAGTGAAACGAGCGGCGGTCAAAGTCGTAATAATTAAGACCATAATCGTGGTTACGGTATAATCGTTAATTATTCATCAACAATTAAAATCTAATTACGAAATTATCCGCGTATCGCATATTGTAGCAGTAATTAGAATTATTCGTAAAGCCTGCTAAAGAAAAATGATTAGACTCTCGTCGGTAACGCGAACGTGTTTACGCTTTCGATCTTTTCATACGTTACGCCGACTGCGGATTAAATTAAACATGACATAATAATCTAATAATCCGCGACGCGATACAAACTCAAGGTATTCTGTTGTATTTTATTTTCTTCCTGCTTCCTGCTTTCACCGCCGAGCTTACCTAACTTTATCACCGCTACAAGCAATTGATATCGTGTTAAACAGAAGATAAAACTATAATATTCAAAATATCGTCCACAAAACAATCAACATTATAAAATTGTCATAATAATCGTCCAAAAAATACTAAGCGAATAAAAATAGAGAAAAATAATATAATGAAAAGAATGCCTTATCTAAAACGTTAGTTATAAACATTTATTATAAAATAAACAACGAAAAACATTTCTTTATATAATATTATTTTTTCCCTGAATAATATTTGAACCATGTTGGAACACTTTTCGTACAATTTTAATGATATATTTAAATTTAATTAATTTCCTTCGTCTCTTATTAAATTCGAAAATTGCATATCTTAATGACTGGCAATGATTCTTATAATTTGGTTAAATAAAATATAACATTTTATTATTTATTTAAATGTTGAAACGCTAATTAATAAGAAATTTTATTTTTAATGGTTTGTTGCTTTAAAAAATTATCCTTCTCTCAGTATATCTTTTCGAAAAAACAATCTCCAAATTAATGAAGTTCAATATTATACGGATCATGCATGAGTGATAAGAAAATTATACAGAGCGAGGGGGATCATTTTAACTTCCGAAATGCATCAAAGGATTAATCTTCTGAGAGAGAAAAAGGGGGGAGAGAGAGAAGGAAGGCGATAGAACGTCCTGTTCGGAGAGATATGCGGATGACGCGGTGGATCTCGAATTAACGAGTCGTGTGCGCGGAGAGGCGAGGCGGGACGGAGGGGATGAAATGTGCGTAAGCCGGCCCGGAACGTAATTTTCAGGCAGATGTACGGCCACGAAAGGGAGATCATTGCACCGGCAAGGAGCAGCTGAAGTAGCGTGAGAAAATGCGGCCGGATCGTCATCGTTGCAGGCACACACGCTCGTTCGCTCACTCGCACTCGGAATGATAGTGACCGAAGGGCAAAGTCAGGGCCGTCGCAACCTTGCCGAAGACGAATTATGTCACGATTACGGGAAAAAAAGCACTTTTTCCTTTTCGACCCTCCAAGAGCTGCGCGAACGGAATCATCACCCCATCATTATCCAAGAAAATTCGCATGCTATATATAAAACGAGTTATCGAAATCCCTACTCTAAATAATCTTGAAAATTTAGAAGCGTGACGAGAGAAATGACATAGTATAGACCAGCGTAGAAAGCATTCTTATGCAAATATCCATAAAATATCATGCCACAGATGACTCAACAAAGAAATTTGAGAATCGTAAATTATCTATGATATTAAATTATTTGTTTATGAGATCTTATATCTCTTGATATGTCATTTATATTATAAATTTTATTTAACCTAATTTGAAATAATATTTTTAATAAATGTTTTGTATCTTCTGACATATAATTTACAACCCTTATGTATCACACAATTTATATACTGTTTATACGATAATCTTGATATAGACAGACTATAGTTAATATAAAATAGCTGTGCTTTTATTAAAATATAATTAACGCAGCGCAATTAGATTCATACGCGTCATGTAAGCGCCGTATAAAAATCATCGTCGATACGAGGTGCGTTTGATTAACGAGGGGAAACCTGTTAGCTGTAAATTAACCGGAGTTGTAAAAAGACCGGACCAATAAATTTCCAGCAAATGCGAAATGTCTCGAACATTAGAATTCCATTAAAATGATAATATAGAGTTATTAGGAATTATATGTACTTTTAATATACTGGTACAGAGCTATAACATCGACTTAGAAATTAAAAATGTTAAATTATGATTTTTAATAATACTTAAGTAATAAAAAATCAAATTAATAAAAGAAATTTAAAAGTGATACTTTATATTACTTACAATTAACATCTCCCATCTGAAGAATTATAATTATATAGAAATACCAATTTTATATATTTAAAAAAACACGAGTCAAATAATTAACGCTAATTCAGATTTATTTTTAATATAAGAATCCTTATTAATAAAAATTAAAGAGGTTTGTCAAAGCTATCGTACAGTCCTGAACTGTTTCACACACACCGGCGACCCTTCTATATACAATGGAATTTCGTCAATGAAACTAAGGCACCGCCAAGTGTATCGAATGAATCTAATCTCGTCATCGTTGATTGCGTCTCTTACGAAGGAATGAATAAGGAAGAAAAAAAACCGAACAAGAAAGAAAGAATGTTATATTAAATGACTCACCGTTTGTCAAACCGTCGACGTCGTCCGAGTCGCACTTGAGACCGTTAGTAATCACCTGAAATATACATAGACTCGTTTAACGTTAAATATTACGATTACAGTTATCGAAAAGAGTCGAGTCGCATTCCTCTTCCCTATAGTTGCTACGATTCAATCAATCGATTTAATATAACTTTGAGGTAATTTCGCCAAAAGAGAAAATTTCTCTCTCTCTATCTCTCTTCTGTTTGTATTATTAAAACATTTATATTATATTCGTGTATCGCGCGTTTGATTATATATTATAATCACTCAATGTTCGGCTTCGCGTGATGTTTATCCACGTGATCGTTCCTTTCGAGGCGGTCAATAAAACGATTACGTTCTCCGCTTTCGCATCTGCTTCGCCCGAGGGCGAAGAAGAATCGAAAGTAGTGTTCGCGTGCTGCTTCCTGTCACCGTCATCGTCATCGATGATTTCAGTGAAAGATATCACTCTTACTCGGCCATACGGCAACCGCAAGTTCATTCATTTGCAATTGCGATCGAGACTCCTGATTTTTTGCGAAATCGCCGTCCGTTTCCACGGACTCGTGTAAAATCGGATAAAGCAGCGGTTTCCGGTTACTAAGACACGATGACGGGTAATTGCAGCGGTTTTCCATCCGGCATGGAAGCTGCGCTTGCCGCTAGTCCATCATAATCGTTAAGAATATATAAACATGACGAAAATCATATATTATATACGCATGAGAAACGTGCATATTAATCACGCAAACTCATCTATCTATGTTAATGATATAAAATTAACTATTCGCCGGCAATATAACCTGGGAGATACAATCCTGGGAAAGCTATTCCAATCCCTAAATACGCAATTTATTTCCGTATCTACGAGGAAATCATTTCAAGGTTCATGTAAATGTTGCAACATGAAAGAAAGATAATTAATGAAGAAAAGTCTCTCTTAATGCCTGAGACATAAATTACTTACAGATATTCTCGAGAAAAAAAGAAATTCTACATTTGTAAAAACTGTTAAGCTATTAATATAAAAAATCTTTCAAAATTAACTTAAATGCATTTCTGAAATATATAATCCGAAAGCGAAAAAATCTCTCGGTTTATTAATCTCGTATTATTTAAAATTCATACAAAACTTTCCTTTATTCAATATTACTTATTTATAAATATACTTTTAGAGAGAGCACATTTTTTGCAGAAACTCCAACACGTAGCTCGAAATACCTGTTGCCACGAATTTCACGTTTGGCCGGAAGCGTGCGATAAATTTGCGCATGCTCGTTCTCACATAACTGATTATGAAGAATGGCGATTATGAAAGCACCGAGTCCACAAAAGATTCATTACGACTGTGTGTTCGACGAATGAAAAGTTTTATGTCAATTTACGATAGTGCCCGAATGTCATGTCCGATGTCGAAGGTTCATAGTTATCGCTAAAAGAACTTCCGTTTTTGATTTCGGTCATCGATAGCGCTTCTTCGAATGCGAGTAAAAAAGAATAAGATAATAATTATACTAAAATAATAATTATAATAATTAGATTTTTTAAGTTTTTACTATGACGATTAAAGGTGATTGCAATATATTTTATCAATTTTTGTTATAATTATTGATATATAAGTTAATTTTATTTATTATTTATTATAATGTATTATAATGTATAGTTGAAATTAAGTTAAAATTAATACATCGTTCTATTAGATGTATATTTTAGCAATACTAGAGCAGAGCTTCGTTAAAAAAAACGATTGAATATCTTGATAAGAATGATGTAAAATAGCAACATATACTATACAAGCAAATTGCAGTTTCTTAGAAAACGTTCTTTTATCGTTATTCACATGCAAAACTAAAAAAAAAAACCTAACTCCTGTAGCTAACAGGATAACAGGATTATAAGAGAGCGCACGTGTCATATTTATTATTCTATTTTGACAAAGAAACGTTTAAACGCATCGCACTATTTCCTATCCCACTTTAATTTATTTGCGCAGTAGAAGAACTCTTAACGAGATACGAATCGCGATAATATTTATTCGAGAATTCTGCGAAAATCATTTCAGTCTATAAAAGCAACCAGGCGAAAATTGGATCGTTTAAAATAGACATTTACACACAAAGAGATATAGAAAAAGAAAAAGAAAAAGAAAAAAAAAATAAATGCATCCGTCGAGAGTCAAGGAGAGTCAGTTTTGCAGTCGCGATCTAGAATGATTTGCACACAGTTCGACGTTTCTCTCTCGTCTCCGCACGGAACGAAACCACCGACCACCGTATATAGACCGTAAGCAATTTCGCGGGGCATCCATCCACCTATTGTATTGTGTGTAACTCGTTGCGGCGTGTGATGGTCGCTAATTGTATCCTCTCGCACGCGTACCAAAGTACGAGTGACCGCAAGAGCGGATACATGACGGTTGGGTGTATATGGTGTGTGTGTTAAGTCTCGCCCCCCCCCCCCCCCCCCCCCCCCCCCCCCCCCCCCCCCCCTGCGTCACGCGTGTTTACGTACGCACGCCGCACGTATCGCGTAAACGAGTCAGGACGAATCCAGTGCGTCGCGAAGGGGGACCGTAGTCCGAGTTGTCCCCTTCCCGGAAGGAAGTAGAATCTATTAATATTTCTCGCACAACCAAAACGCGGGACGGGAGGGGAGCAATTGTCGGCGAGTTACTCAATCTACTCGTATTTACGACACCGCGGCGGGAAAAACACAAAGGCCAGATGGCTGAATGGTTTGGGGGGAGGTGGGAGAATCGGGCGGCCCTTTGCGGTATGCACGAGAGACTCGATTATTGAGATAATCCGGAGGGCACGATGCGTGTCAAAAAGTTGACGGAGTATCGTGTCTTCCATATCTTTTATATGTATTAATTGCAATAAAACACGCTCGAAAAAATGCACGAAAGTCGGACGATAGCTAGATAATAAAAAAGTTAAAGTTATTTATGCGGAGAAAAAAAAGAGGTATTTCAGGAATTATTTTTGGCTCGATCATGATTCGTAATTGACACAGTTCCTATAATCTAAGCTGCTGTTTCATCAATATCATACATTCTCAGCTCCAAATTTTTATGTCACAACGAAAAGTCTATTATGTTATATATGACTGACAGTTCGGATTATCTACGATTGCAACGATTCAGTACTCTTTATTCACAGCGATTTATTCATATAGATAGAGATTAATTGCTTTAAAACATACATTGAGTAGAGCATGAATGTAATCTATATATGAACGTTCATTTATACGAGAATCATACGTTTCATCATAAAGACCCATCGACTTGTTTCGCTCGACGAGACGCACGTAATATCACGTGGCTGACTCGAGCAACAATAAGCCTAAGAAAAGCGCATTTGCATACACACGGCACGAATGTAGCCATAACACAATCCACTGGGCATTTTTACGATGCGGGTTCTCCCGGTGTGCGGCGAGTTTTCTCCGCTTTTAAAGCGGAGCATGCGATAATCGTGCGAATCTTGCACGAAGAAGAAAACCGAGGCCCGCGTTTCTAAAGATTAGATTCGCGCTCTCCGCCAAAGATTATTCCGGTACCGTTGCCTCCGCAGCCGATTTCATCTCGTGGCTTCTTGCCAGCGTTTTATCAAAGTTATCCCCGAAACGGCTAATTTAACGTTCGAACACCCGACGCGTAAAAGCGCGCATTTTCTCTTCGGCATAGAGCGATAATTGTGTACGCAAGCGAACCGCGATTTATTTCCATCCTTCCAGTTATGAGGCCAAGGAAGTTGGATAATCGGTATGTTTCAATCGCGATCACTATAAATCATTCGAAAAGATACTTTCATCGTGAATACTTTTCTTTTTTATTTCAACTTTAGCTGTGCGCGATGAAAATGTACAGAACGTCTTAATTTCTTATCTTTTCATTCAAATTTTTTTAGGACTAGTTAAAAACTTCAGTGATAAAAATAGATAATAAAAATAAATTAAAAAGAAAAAAAAAAGAACAGATTTTATTTTCCCTGATCAATTCTTCAACGGACTTTACTGCGATGTAATACACTCAATTCGAAAATTAGCAATAAAGATATCTACAACTGAATTTCGATAGCCGGTCTATTGAGTTGTGGATACAAATCTGCAATTCAAAAGACGCGAGTGTGTGTTGCAGAAAAGATTGTAAATATTGTAAATTTTTGCTTACGTAATATGCAATAATCGGAATGGCTCATTTTATAGTCTGCATTTCGAAACGTATAATTAGCATCTCAATGCACACCACGATCGTGACGAGCGATTTACAATTCTTGCAGTCTAAAGTTTGTTTTACCACACACACCTCGTCGTACTTAACAACATAAACTTTACGACGTGGCGGATATCCTGATTATTTTTCCGAGAATTCTCTTACTTTCAGTTTTCTCCGACTGTCTGTGACAAGATGCAATCAGGATCGCGCGTCGAGCAAGTACATATATTCAATCGCGATAACATCGCCTATTTAAAATAAATTATATTTTAAAAAGTGAATAAAAGATATATAAATAGAAAATTAGAAAAATTAGAGTTTTCTAATTTTGAATAAACTCTTTCTCAATGTGCGCGTTTAATTATCAATATATTTTTATCTCGAGAATTAAAAAATTGTACGAAAAATGTAATCCAATTTTTACCGAGAAGAAGCGACTTTCAATCAACCAAAAAATTTAAAAATAAAAAAAACTTTTTATGGTAAAACGTCGAAAAATTATATCTCTCATACATTCACATAAATTAGATGCTTTACCTTTTTTGCAATTCAAATATTTGAAATGCGTCATGTGTGCATATATATATATATATATAATTTCCTCTTTGACAAAAAATGAGCTATATCACATCAATGTCAGTGTTGCTTTAAGATGCACGACGCCTATCGACCGATTTTCCGAACCGACCTTGATCAAACTGGGTGCGGCCAGCATCATCCGATTTTCTCATCTCCCGTGTATCTCGCCGATAAACAACATTGACATAACGAACGGTAATTTCATGAGATTCCGACGGGTTACGGGATAAAATCGAGTCCATGAGTACGCT